TAACATAATATCAGTAACATTCATATGCAACTGGATCCCTTAGTTACAAACAGATAAACATTTAATAAGAAAATACACTACCATTATAGCTCTAAAGCCAAAAATTCTGCAAACAGAAGGGCATGGAGTATAAAATACAACTAAGAAAACTATAGAATTGAGAAAATGCAAGAGGAAACAAAAAGGAAGATAAAGAACAGCCATCAAAAGAGACAAATCACCTGTTCAACTAGAACTAGTGAAAGTGAAAGCACCAGAACTACCGGTATGAAAATAGAAGCCACATGATGTTGTAAATGCAATTGTTTTACCAGTTTCTGGTGAGCATGATGGGCACCCAGACTTTCACACTGGGTCAAGAAATGATCCCTGAACTACTCAAGAGCTTAGGCTAATGATGGCTAACCTTTTTGCCATTGTGTGCCAAAAGCGAGGGAATCATGTGCGCGCCCACACCCATAATTCAATGTGCACCCCCCCATGTATGCGCCCATGTCCCCCCCACGCTCCCCCTGCTTTTGGCACATGATGGCATGGTGGGCCCGATAGGCCCGTTTTTTGATCACCCCAGGCTTCAGAGCCTATCTTAGGAGGGCAAAAATGGCCTTCCGCACCCTCTTGGAGGCCCTCCGGAGGCCAGAAACGGCCTGTTTGCCGACCTCCGGTGGGCCCAGAAGCCTAAAAATAGGTGATGCGCGCTGGAGCTGAGCTAGGGCAACACTCGCGTGCCCACCAATATGGTTCCGCGTGCCACGCGTGCCATAGGCTTGCCATCACGGGCTTAGGCTCTTTCCTTATTTAAATCAGATTAAATACAGTGATATGGTGATTACAAATGCTGGTTGTGCAACATAGGTGGATTAATATCTCAAAGAATTAGTGCAAAGTAGAATAATCTGAGTAGAAGATTAATAATCCATCTGCCAGTCTCTGGCATCACCTTGGCTCCACATGGGCCAAAAATCAGGCCATGAATTCATGAACCTTGCAACAAAATCAACAGACGGTAGACAATCCAAAATACATGTCCGATATTCAAGGAGAGATGATAGCACCTACCACAGAGTTCAAAGCACAACTCATGATCACTATAAGTTTTGCAAGTTGGGATATGGGTAAATCAAGAAACACACTAGTCTGTGTTCATTTGATCTATTATGCATGGTTAATTTAGTCAATATTTTCTCAAACTGATTTCCTAGGTTTACTGATCTATCATTTAACCATGCAGAATTGGCTGAGAGAACTTGATTCCCAATAAGCCCTTTTCCAAGAGATGACTTGTTCTTCAAATGTCCATGTCTCCTTAAGCTTGAACACACAAGATGCTTGGGTTTCTTGAGCTTTGGATGTATTTTTCAGACCTGGGTCTGATTATTTAGCCTCTTGTACTTCTAAATAACGAATGGCCCTCAGAACGTAATTTTATTTCCAACATTTCAAACTTCTATGGCAAACCTGCCAAATTTCAGATTTTTTTTTATCTTGCCCTACCCCCATTCCCAAAAGAAGTGGGAATGCAAGTGGAGGGAAAGCCTCTACTATTCTGATCCTAACACACACACACTAAATGCTTTTTTAAAAGGCATTTAAAAGCACAGCAAACTGGAAAAAAATGTTTAGCGCTGACCCCTCTGGGAATGTTATCATGTTGCAAGGGCAGGCTGAGGATTTTGCACAGTATCTGCACGATAAAATTGCTCAGATTCGGGAAGGCTTGGACTCTGACTGGGTAGGTCCTGGCGAGGTGACTGAGGCCGGTCTTGAGAATGTTATCTGGGACGAGTTCGACCCTGTGACTCCTGAGGACGTGGACAGGATCCTGGGGAGGTTAAATGCAACCACATGTTTATTGGACCCATGTCCCTCCTGGCTGGTACTGGCTACCCGGGAGGTAACAAGAGGCTGGCTCCAGAGGATTATAAATGCTTCTCTGAGGGAGGGTTTCTTGCCTCCCACCTTGAAAGAGGCGGTGGTGAGGCCACCCCTCAAGAAGCCTTCTCTGGACCCGGCTGTTCTGGCAAACTACTGTCCGGTCTCCAACCTTCGCTTTATTGCGAAGGTTGTTGAGAGTGTGGTTGCGCGACAGCTCCCACAATACCTGGATGAAACCGTCTATCTAGATCTGTGCCAGTCCAGCTTCAGGCCTGGGTACAGTACGGAGGCGGCATTGGTCGTATTGGTGGATGATCTCTGGAGGGCTTGGGACAGGGGTTGTTCCTCTGTCCTGGTCCTGTTAGACCTCTCAGCGGCTTTTGATACCATCGACCATGGTATCATGCTGCGCCGGCTGGGGGGATTAAGGGTGGGAGGCACCATGTTGCAGTGGTTCTCCTCCTATCTCTCTGACCGGTCGCAGTCCGTGTTGGCAGGGGGGCAGAGGTTGACCTTGAGGCGCCTTGTTTGCGGGGTGCCGCAAGGGTCGGTCCTCTCGCCGCTCCTGTTCAACATTTATGTGAAGCCGCTGGGTGAGATCATCTGTGGTTTTTGGGTGCGATGCCACCTGTACGCTGATGACACTCAGCTGTACATCTCCACCCCAGACCACTCCAATGATGCCCTCGAAGTGATATCCCAGTGTCTGGAGGCCGTGCGGGTCTGGATGGGGAGGAACAGGCTTCGACTCAACCCTTCCAAGACTGAGTGGCTGTGGATGCCGGCGTCCCGATATAGCCAGCTGGTGCCATTGCTGGCTATTGGGGGCGAGTCATTGACCCCCACAGAGGGGGCTCGCAACTTGGATGTCCTCCTGGACACACGGCTGTCTTTAGAAGAGCATATGACGGCCGTGGCCAGGGGGGCTTTTTATCAGGTTCGCCTGATACACCAGTTGCGCCCCTTTCTGGATCAGGACTCCTTATGCACAGTCACCCATGCCCTCGTCACTCTCGCCTGGACTACTGCAACGCTCTCTACATGGGGCTCCCCTTGAGGAGCACCTGGAGGCTCCAGCTGGTCCAGAATGCGGCCACGTGGGTGATTATGGGAGCGACGTGGCACTCCCATGTAACACCTCTCCTGCGCGAGCTGCACTGGCTCCCGGTGGTCTTCCAGGTGCGCTTCAAGGTGTTGGTTCTCATCTTTAAAGCGCTCCATGGCTTAGGGCCAGGGTACCTACGAAACCGCCTGCTGCTACCGATAACCTCCCACTGGCCAATACACTCTCACAGAGAGGGCCTCCTCAGGGTGCCATCGGTCAAGCAATGTCGGCTGGCGGCCCCCAGGGGGAGAGCCTTCTCTGTGGGGGCACCCGCCCTGTGGAATGAGCTACCTCCTGGAATACGACTGATCCCGGACCTCCGGACCTTCCGTAGGCCCTGAAGACTTATTTATTCCAGCAAGCTGGCCTAGCCTAAATGGTTTTTAATGGGATTTTTAAATTTTATAGACTTGGGGTTTTAAATTGGGAAGCCAATTGATTTAATCTCTTTTAATTATCTTAAAAGAGATATGTATTTGTATTGTATGTATTTTAATTTTGGCTGTTCACCGCCCTGAGTCCCCTTGGGAGAAGGGCGGTATATAAATTAAATTAATAATAATAATAATAATAATAATAATAATAATAATAATAATAATAATAATAATAATAATAATAATAATGTTATCCAGATGTTATTTTGCAGGTCAGTTTTTCTAATGGTAGAAATATTTTTTGGAATATGAACGATATAATGGGAGTAAAATATTACTTTGAATTTTCATTTCATTTTCATTTATACAATGATATTAACAAAATTTTATTGGTATGTTAAAATGGTATGTTAAACAAAAACCAGCAGATACAACCACACACTTTATAAATTACTAAATGTTTTTTAAACTTTATTTTCATAGTAATAAAACCCTCTACAGAAAGACCAAACATTAAGTAAGATAAACATGAGCCTGTCTGTCATTACAAAAAACCATTTAGGTCAAAAGAAAAAATTCTAAAATTTTCCCATGGAAAGACATAATCAGAAGAATCCAAACTATGTGGGGGGAAAACCTATAACAGCCGACAGGAAATTAGAACAACAACTAACTACATTATCTAATTAGTTTTGTAATTTGAAATTGCAAACATAGAAAGCAAGGCTTCTGCCACTGGTGTCGCCCCAAAAGCTACACAAAGTCTGTGCCCCTCCCCTGGCCAGTTAGGAGAGGATCTAGGATAGTGGCAGAACCCTTTCAGTTCCATCATACCTCAAATTCATATAATGGCAGCAATGACAACTACAAGCTGATGCTTTTCAAACCAGGTTGCCAGAAGACACTTAATATCCCAGAAACATTTGTGTTTCAAATATAGTCCTCTTGCTAGCACTTTGAGATGGCTGATATTTGAGAAATATAACCCGAAAGGGTCCTTTGGGGCCATTTTGCTGTGCTAGTATTAAACTGAGAAAAAGAATGTTTAACTGTAATAATAACATTGTTTTTACAATGCCTGCTCATGTATAAACCCATCTGTGGATAAGCCGACCCTGAGCTTTTTAATAAAAATGTATCACAAATGTGCCACTAAGCTGACCTGCATTTTTCATACCAGCACTTTAGTTAAAAATTCAGGTTATCCACAGATTGGTGTATCCACATGCATCTATGGAAAATACAGGTACTTGTAAAAAGTGTCACCATGTATACTTGTACCATAGGTAAACCTAACCAGATGTTTTGGCATTAAAAATTCTAAATTTATTCACAAGTATATATGGCAAATGATTTTGTTCAACAGCTAGCACCATATTTACTGTACACTGTTGCTACATAAAAAGTTCATTCACAGAGTCGTCTTCTAGACCAATTGAATTTGTGCATCCAAGTATGACAAGCAGTGGCTATAGTAACTTCTTCTAAAACAAGGAAGTTCTTCTTACCTAGCAGAAACCACCAAATTTGCATGAATTATCACCTTTATTAGAAATAAATTTTTAATATTTTTTTTTCTATATTGAATTCCTGAGCATCCTTTTCCCCGATTTCGCTGAATAGTAATAATTTTAAAAAGCACTTACTTTTCATGGTCCCCTCATCTTCTTCATCTTCTGCATTTATGACCATTGTTCCTAATTGTGATGCTAGAGTGTCATTGTATTCTATCATGGTATTGCCACCTTCACTCATTCCACAAGCAGCTCTGATTGTCCCTGTCTCTTGACCCCTTGCTCTAACCATGGTCCTAGAATCAATTTCATCTTCTTCCTACATTGAGAGAGAAGAAAAACTTCTAATGTAAGTAAGGCAACTCCAGTCATCTAGAATTATTCAAGGCATCATGGTTCTTCAGTTACCACTGAAACAGAAGCGAAGCAAGAATGTGTGGTTTGTTTCCAAACATACTTCTAAAACTCATCAAACAGCATCAGACAGGTAGTCCTCGACTTACAACCGTAATTGAGCCTAAAATCTCTGTTGTTAAGCGAGACATTTGTTAAGCGAGTTTTGCCCCATTTTACGACCAATCTTGCCACACTTGTTAAGTGAATCACTGCAGTTGATAAGTTACTAACCCGGCTGTTAGGTGAATCTGGCTTCCCCTACTGACTTTTGCTTGTCAGAAGGTCGCAAAAGCTGATCACATGATGCAGGGATCACAGCAACGGTCAAAGATATCAACAGATTGCCAATCATCTGAATTTTGATCACGTGATCTTGGGAGTTGCTATAAAGATTGTAACTGTGAAAAATGGTCATAGGTCACATTTTTTCACTGCTGTTGTAACTTTGAATGGTCACTAAATGAACTGCTGTAAGTCGAGGACTACCTATAATTAGTTTTCTTTTTTTGGCCACAAATGGACAGTAAAATATTCCAACTTGAGATTTATTTTGTTACTGGAAGGAAAGACAAGGGGATGACCTCCAGAAACATAGATGAAATTACAATGCCAATGAGTACACTATTGGAAGACTTGAAGGACTATGCTGGGGACAAATCACCTTGGAGGCAATTGATCTATGTGGTCACTGATGCTAACTTGATGGCACACAATTCTGTCATTAAACGCCAAGAATGCAAGGCATGGAAACTAGGGATATTAAGAAATTTAAATTATATCTAATGAACTGCAGAGAAACATTTGTAACAGACCAACAGTTCCTAACTGAACTGGCTTCAATATATCAAAATGACCCACAAGCAATAAGTTAGAATGGCTAAAACAAAAAAAAAGCAGCAAACTTATAAGAGGCAGGAAATACTACTTTTTGAAGTTGTTTCCAACCTCTGTTAGAGAAATTAATCAAGTTCACTAAAATGACTGCCATATTTAGAAAAATAAAAATAGAAAAAAAAAAGCAAACTTATTTAAGAAGATGATATACTTCTGAAGTAGATAATGTAACAATAGCACTTAGACTTATATACCGCTTCACAGTGCTTTTACAGCCTTCTCTAAGCAGTTTACAGAGTCAGCATATTGCCCCCAACAAACTGGGTCCTCATTTTACCAACCTCAGAAGGATGGATGGAAGGATGAATCAACCTCAAGCCTGGTGAGATTCGAACTGCCAAATTGCAGACAGTTCGAAGGTAAGCAGAAGTAGCCTGCAATACTGTATTCTAACGACTGCACCACCGCAGATCTATATAACAGATTGTTCACAGTTCAAGTGGCAAAAACCTTGCCTTCCTGAGTGCAGTAATTGTGCAATCACTATAATTTGTTTGTTTGTTTGTTTGTTAGATTATAACCATCTTTCCTTTGGGAGCTCAAAGCAACATTCATGTGTTCCGTCTGCAGGTGGCTTATGGGGCTGAGCCTTGGCTTTCTAGAGTTTCATGGAATCTGCCAATATCTCATCTCTCCTAATACACAACACACAAGAAGCCTTAGAAGGGTCAAATGATCACCTGCTATCCACAAAGGAATGATCCTGTTATTCCTCTTCATAGGATAGGAAGGAAAGAGGTGAGGGCCAGAACACTGGGGAAAAAATGCAGCAAGTTCATCTTACAGTCTGTTGATGCTTCACCTCCAAAGAGGTGATTTTTTTTAAAGGAAAAATTTCTACATTTAAGAAATTAAGAAATGCCTGAGCAGGGGGTTGCCCTAGAAGACTTGCAAGGTCTCTTCCAACTCTGTTATTCTATTCTACTCCAAATTAATGTGTTGTTTTTAATTTTCAGGTTATGTTACGTACTACTCAGAACTGGTTGGAACAGATTGCAACACAAATGCTAGCAATAAATAAATATTAAACAATAGAGTGAAACAATAGAGTACAGGAAAAAGAGTTTACAATTCTACTACAGAAAACGTTATGGCTTTAGCACTCACTGAATTTTCTTCATCATCATGAAACATGTCACGCTGTTGAGCTTGCTGAATTTTTAGTTTAATATCCATTGCCTCATTAATCATATCTCGCAAGATGAAAACTCCTTTGGCATTTTTTACAAATGGGTGCTAAAAAACAGATATTAATTTTTTAACACAAAAGTTAAAAGCAGAAGGAAAAAATCAGAACCCAATATTATGTTAATACAACTCTAAAGAGAATGCTAGTAGTAACTTTAATGCAAAACTAGGTCAATTTTGTTCAACTTATATAATTTATACAGAAAATGAAAAACTGATACACTATTCTATAATACTTTAATAGCCTGGAACAGAGGGGTCCAATCTGCAGGATTTAGTCAGTCCCCTTTAGCATCTTTGAAAACTCCCAAACAAAATTCAGAGGCACGATTTTCAAAGTTTGGTAAAATGAAACTGAAAGACAAAAAAAAAAAAAAAAAAAAAGGAAGCTTCTATTCTCATCCCCCATTAAAAACTTAGAAGAAAATTCTACTTTATTAAGCTCTCCAAACATGTATGTAGAGGGAAGAGCTCCAGATTTCCTTCCATTCCAGAATAGCAGATACTAACCTGAAGCAACTGCGTAGCTGTGGCTCTTTGTTCTGGACACTTCACAAGACACTGTTTTACAAAATCTGTAAATTCGTCTGACCATAGTTCTGGCTTTCGAAATGTTGGTGGTGGATTTGTTGGAATCATGAAAATTGCCTGCAAATAACAATATTGGTTTTTGCCCTTTGCTCATGTTGCAACTAAGCAAAAAATAGACGCACAAGAAAAACGCAAGAGCCCAAAGGGCCAAAGCTTCCCTATCATTTTTCTGTAGGTCAAAAATGGGACTACAGCTTCATGTGGCTATTTTTCTAATCACAACTATTAAAAACTGATGGCACAATTTTCTGCCATACTGAAGTTGGAAAGAGATGAAAATTATAGTATTAATCCTGAAGTAGGTATTAAAAAAAAAAAACTTTCTCAAGAACCCAAACCCTGCCCAGATGTGAAATGGGTCCATATATAATGTCATTCTTGGCCTCACAGAAAATATTAAAGGATAGCAATGTCCTGCTTCAGAGCATAAGGCTGAAACTGGACATTCCTGTAGTCTTCCCCCAACATATTAAATGCAATGGCACCCCAACTATCTGAATGGCCCAGATTGGAAAAGCTGTTTTAGTGGTCTTCATCCTCTGTTTCAGTATACAGATAGTCCTTGATTTACAACAGTTCATTTTGTGACCATTTGAAGTTACAATGGCACTGAAAAAAGTGACTTATGACAATTTTGCACACTTATAACTGTTGTGGCATCTCCATGGTCATGTGATCAAAATTTAGACGCTTGGCAACTGGTTCATATTTACGATGGTTTGCAGTGTGCTGGTGTCACGTAATCCCCCTTTGCCACCTTCTGACAAGCAAAGTCAACGGGGACAAAGTCACTTAACAACAGTGTTACTAACTTAACAACTGCAGTGATTCACTTAAGAAATGTGTCAAGAAAGGTCGTAAAATGGGGCAAAATTCACTTAAATGCCTCACACTTAGCAACATAAATTTTGGGCTCAAGTGTGATTGAAAGTCAAGGACTACCTGTGATTAGCAACAGTACTACAATATATTTCAACATGGGCTACTTTACATATTTGCATTCAAATAACTCTGAACTTTACTGAATCCAAACTTCCTGCTTAAAGTGGGTTGAAAATGATAAACATTTTATTCTCTAAGACAGTGATGGCTAACTTTTTTGCTATCGCGTGCCAGGAAAGGGGGGTGGACGAGGGAGGTTTGCGTGCGCACATGCCCACACCCATAATTCTATGCGCCCTGCCCTGCGCATGCAATCACTACTTCCCCCCCCCCCCACTCCTGGCCCAGTAGACCCATTTTTCTTTCTCACCTGGCTCTAAATCCTCTCTATGCATCTGGGGAGGGTGAAAACAGCCTTCCCCACTCCCTCGGAGGCCCTCCGGAGGCCTGAAACGGCCCATTTCCCAACTCCCAGTTGGACAGGAAGTGACATTTTTTGCTGTCCCCAGCATCCAGAGCCTCTCTAGGAGTCTGCATAGAGAGGATCTGGAGCCAGGTGAGAAAGAAAAACGGGCCTTCCCCACCCACCCCAGGCCCTCCGGTGGCAGGAAACAGCCTGTTTCCCTACTTCTGGTGGGCCCAAAAGGCCTGAAATTTAGCTGGCCGGCGCGCACATGCGTGCCTGAGCTGAGGTGGCGTATCCACTGATATGGCTACATGTGCCACCTGTGGCACGCGTGCCATAGGTTCACCATCACGGCTCTAAGAAGACTTATGTTTCACACTGATGTTTCCACTTATGCACGTAGTTCTCACTTCATTATGCCAATTAGGACCTCCACTCCATCACTAAGTGATACGATCTTAACACGCAATGTCATGTGACCACACTGATTTAACAATAGCTGTTGCAGCAGTCCTGGTTGCCAGCATTAGGTAAATCCCATGTGGTTGCAGCATTCTGCAGTCACATGATCACCGTCTGCAACCTCCTTCCAGCTTCTCCACAGACTTTACTTGTCCGAAGTTGGCAATGAAGATTGCAAATGGCAATCCCGTGACTATGGACATTGTGACATTGTAATTGCAAGCTGAATGCCAAGCACCCAAATCACAACCACATGACCACAGGGACATAGCAACTGCCACAACTACAAGGATTTGTCATAAGTGAATGTGTGGTCATTCAACGAGACTGCCTGTACTGTTGATCACAAAGGAAGGGCGAGTCTTCAGGCAGGCAGTAAAAACTTTTGAATATACCTATAGCTATTCTAAGAATAGACATTTTTTAATATGATGAGAGAAGTTATTAAGCGTATGGGGTATAGACATATTTAGTAATCAAATTTAGTGTTTTATGCCTGCAAAAAGCAAGGCAAATCTACTTTACTACACAGTATCATCATGCATGTGGAATTTTATTAAGCTGTTGTTTAGAGACTACATCTAACAAAGCAGGATAATGAGAACTAGGGCTCAACTTTACTAGTGCATTAAAGCTACAATCAACTCCCTATCTTGGACCAGAGATCCAGCATTTACCCTCATTGGATGAATATCAGCATATGGAGGTTTTCCTTCAGCCATTTCAATGGCAGTGATACCCAGAGACCAGATGTCTGCCAGACAATTGTATCCAATTTCTTGGATCACTTCAGGTGCCATCCAGAATGGAGTTCCTATCACAGTATTTCTTTTTGCCATAGTATCCTATGAAGGGAGACAAATTTTAAGCAAGTTAGCTATTTAAAAGGGATCTGGTAAAAACATCTGCTGATCAATTATTCAAATGCTTTTAAATATTCTGTAAGCTATACTGTAACCTTATAATTACAAATACTGTAAGCTATATTGAACATCCCTGCACCAGTTTGGTGTGATGGTGAATATGCTCTTCTAGAAATCAGGAAACTATGAGTTCTAGGCCTCTCTTAGACAAGAAAGCTGGCTGGATGACTTTGGGCCAGTCATTCTCTCAGTCCAACTCACCTCACGGGGTTGATATTGTGGGGAAAACAGAAAGAAGAAAGAATATTAGGCAAGTTAGTCACCCTAACTTGCCTAAGAGAGAGGAGGCAGAAAGATCAGGAGAAAGGATATGATGCTTCTGGTAAGGTGATAGGACTTTTTGCTGGACTATGAGTGATGCTCCCAATCCAGCAGAGTGGCAGAGGGGAGAGAAAGAAAAAAAGTGGTGAGAAGATTACAGATAGCCAAGCTGGTAGGATATGATGGGTTGGGAGCAATGCACATCAACTTTCTCTATTCAACCTGTCTGGATTTTGTTTCATTCAAAACCCAAACAAGCAAAGCATTCTGAATTTCAATTTTTCTAAATTATGCCTGACCAGAACAAGTTAGCAAAACCTCCAGAATTTGATGGTTCTGGGTTGAAAACAATTTTTCCCACTTTGTGCAGATCCATGTCAATAGAGATACATTGAAAATACAAAAACAAATGAAAATAGATAATTTCTAAAAATCTAAATCTTACGATCTTAGAAAATCAGGTTATTTATATATGCCAATAGTTCTCCGGTGACCATCCCATATTATATAGCAACATTTGATCCAGAAAATATATTCCAGCTTGGTTTACATATATTGAACTAGAAGGTTTATTTGGATACTGGCATTTTGTGATGTTTGCATTCAGTCAATACAATTTGTAAACCATTGTTAATATATTACTATGTTCCCAATTGTGGCTTGTTAAACAACCAAGTCTTTGCACAATATAGGAAGAGATGTATCAGTAGTTTCTACACTTACAGTAAGCTGGCCAGCTACCCCAAAATCTGCAAGTTTAGCATGTCCTTCTGTATTAAGTAATATGTTGCCAGCTTTGATGTCACGGTGTATTTTCCTCATGAAATGTAGGTATTCCAGTCCTTTCAGTGTTGATTGTATTATTGTAGAAATTTCATCTTCCATCAACTGTAGAAGGAAACTTACTAAATGAGCAAATAGTCATTGCTTAGACTAGTCATTGTTATTGTCACTTAAAATACATGTCTTCTATTAGGATAAGGGATGGAGAAGGCTACAAGAGGATAATGCGACTTATTGATTTCCAGTAATAACAATTTCCAGTGGAACATAGAAGGAATGTTGAAAGTCTGCACTTTCACATTTTTTATTACTCAATAAACCAGGCTAACGTTTATAAAGTTCATCAACTTTTATCCAAACTTTTTATCCAAAAAAATCCCCTCAAGCATTTATTCAGATCTGAAGCAGCACATACCGTTTTATTTCGTAGTCGAATTATATCAGACACAGATCCGGCACCGCAATATTCCATTACTATCCAGAGGTCCGTGTTCTTAAAATAGCTGCCATAATATTTGACTACATGAGGACTAAGGAAGACAGAACGTATTACTGAATTGACTCAAGTACACATTTGGAAAGAAAAAAAAAGTCATCAACTTAAAATCCTAGGATTGGGGAAGTATTAGGATCTTAAGAAAAAGCATAAACTCATAAAAATTAAATTCCATTCTCTGGTTTTCAATTACGTATTTCTACTCCTATTTCAAAGGAGTGCAATTTTTTTTTCACAAGACAACTCATGCAAGTGGAAAAGTTTGATTTAGTTGGCTTGCTCTAAGGATTGAGCTGGCAAGGCAAAAATAAAAAAGCTGCAGACCTTGGCAAGACCATTCTGTAAGTATGGGACAGCGCTTTCCACATTCTGTTCTGGGAAAACAGTGTTAAAAATTACTGGCACCATGAAAGGGCATGAGAACAAGATCTAGGATTTAAGTCTTGAGTGCCCATCTGACTAGCTTTCTCTCATACATACATACCCAGGCAAAGCTGGATTCCTGTATTCTGCAGCAATTATGAAGCTGTGACTTAATTAGCAATAAAAGTTTTATTTAATGGTATTAAGTCTTTGAAACGTCTGCTGTTATTTAGCTATGACTATGGGAATGACAGCTGAGTATTTGAAGAGTCATGTTTTTCTGAAGTCCAGCACTTCCAACGGCTACCCATTATTTAACAGGAATATACTAATAAAATAAAATAATTCAATTCAGGTATGAAACGTTATTCAAGTTGAGAATTTTTATAACCATTATATTGATATTAGCTACAACTTTTCAAAATACATTCCTCTACAAATATTTTAGTTTATTATAATAGTATATTTAACAGAGAAAATTGTGCAAAATACATTTTCATTGTTTTCTATCTATTATCTTACTAACATTTAAAACATTTCTTTAAACACCAATACATGGTGAAAACAATCAGCTCACACAGAGGGTTCCCTTGATGTATTGTTCTATAGAAATTCTTCAGTTGTTTCAAAATAACAGGAATGAATGAATGGTTCATGAATGGTTTACATATTCTTGCTGTAGGAAAGGTATGTTCTCTCCCTACTCCCCCCCCAACCCACCCACACAAACATTCTTGCTTCCTCTGTACACTAGTGAAAATCTGCTCCAAAGCATTTGAGGATGGGGGGAATTCTTGTAAGGAGGTTAGGCAAAAGCAAGGAAAAATGTTTTTCCTCAATTCTTTCATCGGATCTCAATCTCTTCAGCAAATGGGATAATCCATTATCAATCAAGTGGGACTGCTTTACAGTTTTAACATATTTCAGATTTGTATGCTTATTATTAATCTATTTTAAGTCCAAATACACAAACTCCTTTCTGCACCAATAGTTTTTTTTTTTCTAAGTTTACACATATTTATTTCTTTTAAAAAGATTATATGGACTTCGGAGTATCTACTAATATTGCAATAATTTTCCAATAAATCATTTCCAATAAAAATATTTTTAACATAACAGTTAAGCTTTTGTATTTTAGCTTTCTTTGAATAAACTGAAAATTTCCAGGGAAAAACCAACATTTAATCACTTCATTGATCACATTTAATCACTTTAATTTTAAAAAAATTACTGTAGTTCAAGAGGATTGTGGGAAATTAACAGAGCTCTCTTATTTACAAAGTTCAAAACAACCTAATGAGGCCAGACTACATACATCAATACGGCCAAGTTAATAAAACATTTGTATTTAGAATACAAATACAAATGTATGTGAATACAATAGCTAAAAGCTTCAGTTGTTCAGAAAGAATAGAAGCAACAGAAAAGGATGACACATTTAACTATTAAAAAATATCCACATCTGCCCTGATATCCAGAGTCGTGATCTAGGCTCTGCTATTGAGAGCATCTCTTATTAAAATAAACAGGGCCTGCTGGTGTCCACTATTATGCTTGGATATTCCAGGAAATTCCTGACAACTTTCTCCTTCAGAGGGAAGAGATAGAAGAAGAGAATATGCTAAACGGCCTTGAACTTAACTAATACAAAATATTTGGTAGACGAAATGAAAGTAATGGAAACTTTGAGGAAAGTTACATGATAGTATAGTTTCTGATATTAAGAGAAACTAAAGATGAATATAACTGAGTATTATCTTGAACTTCAGATTTAATAAATTCAGAACAATGAAATGTGCTCAAAATGGTTGGAAGAGTCTTAAGAAATAAAGACATTAAAAGCACAATAATGACTAATTCCAGCAGGAGATAAAGGAAAATTGCAGAAGCGCTTAATGTGGCAGCCCAAAAAGTTTAGCAAAAATTAAACAAGGAACATACAGAATTAGGATTGAGGATGCAGAGTAATAGTACATACAGGTAGCCAAAACTGTAGGTGGTATCAGGAAAGATCAAGCTCAAAATGAGTCAGTCAGTAAAGGGTGCCAAGAATGACAGGAAGACTGTCTATGGAGATTCTCGGTTATCCAGGGTGATGGTTGTCCCAAAGATGTTTCCTTGAAGACATTTTGCTTCTTCACTTCTGACTGAGTGGTGGAGAAGCGAAACATCTTCAAGAGCTGAAGAAAAGAAAGTCCAGTTGCCTCTTGAAAAAGCACTTTTGGAATGACAAAAAGGGCTTCTTCGGGTATAGGTAAAAAAAAAAATTAAAAACATTTACTGGCTATTTGGTGAAAATGATAACATCCTAACTGTTACTGAAGAAAAAGCAAAACTATATAATTCCTACTTTGATTTAGTCTCTGAGAAATCTTAGAGAATGGGGGGTAGGGGGGCAGCCGAATTCTGTCCAACTATAGAAAGGCAAAGTGGAATTCTGAATATTTCAGACCAGGGATCCCCAACCCCTGGTCCTTGGACCGGCACCAGTCTGCGGCATGGCAGCAACCGGGCCATGGAAACAAGCAAAGCCCCATCCACGGTTTGCAGGCAAGCACACTAAACCACACCCCCTCCAGTCCACGGAAGCGGTCTGTGGTGCTCAAAAGGTTGGGGGCCATGGCTTCAGACTATTTCATCTGAAATTTTTAACCTGAAACATTCTACAGAAGATTATAAAGAGTTTGATCTGTAAGCATCTTAAAACAGCACTATGGTTTGTCCAAAACAAATCTTGCCAGAGTAAACTTATCTAGTAATTTCATTAGTAGGTTGTGAAATGCTATAGACATATCTTAACTTTGTATATAATAAGAACAAACCACTACCTAGAGAAATAGGATGAAAATAACAGAATAAACTTTAAGAAAGAGGAATGCAAAGTTCTTAAATTATGAAATAAATCGAAGGTATAGATATTGGTCCCCTTGGTAACAGCACACATGAGGTATAGTGGAATAGTACATCACCAGATAACTAACACCCAACAGAATGACATAGCTGCCAAAAAACAAATGCAATTTTAAGCTAAATCAATAGCTATCTAGTTTATAAATCACAGGAAGCAACATAGGTTGTATTCCTTTTAAGTACTGTATGTAGTCCTTGGCCCTATATTTTAAGAAAAATCAGAGGCAGAAAAAGAAAATAAGAGAAATTTGATCAGAAGACACTATAGGAACTGACTGTGTTTAGCTCTGAGAAAAGTTATGAATTATATCCCCATATTATTATTATTATTATTTATTAAATTTATATACCGCCCTTCTCCCCGAAGGGACTCAGGGCGGTGAACAGCCAAAAATTAAAATAACATACAGTATAAAAGTTAACATAACTAAAAATAAATTAAATTAATCAGCCTCCCAATTTAAAACCCCAAGCTATACAATTAAAAACTAACCCATAAAACCTATTCAGGCCAGGCCGGCTTGCTGAAATAAAAACGTGTTCAGGGCCTTACAGAAAGTGTGGAGATCCGGGATCAGTCGTATTCCGGGAGGTAGCTCGTTCCAGAGGGCGGGTGCTCCCACAGAGAAGGCTCTCCCCCTGGGGGCCGCCAGCCAACATTACTTGACCGATGGCACCCTGAGGAGGCCCTCTCTGTGAGAGCGTATTGGCTGGTGGGAGGTTATCGGTAGCAGAAGGCGGTCTCGTAAATACCCTGGCCCTAAGCCATGGAGCGCTTTAAAGGTGAGAACCAACACCTTGAAGCGCACCCGAAAGATGCATATGATAACACTTCTGTAGTATCTGAAGTTTGCTGGTTACTATATTAACAATATAGTAAAAATAAAATACAGTAAAAGCTTTCCTTAGGTAAAAGAATTGTCTCCATTACTTTCTGCCATTTTGAAGCACAAAGCACTGCAAGAATTCTATATCTTCACTCTATCTCCATAGAAACATAAGGTGGGAAATGACAAATTTGACCATTATTTCACCCAACACTTAATCCAGAAACCATGTCTTTCCCCCACATCAAACTAGAGAAAGAAGTGACATAACCTCCCACATAATTTTGAAAAGACAGTCATTTAGGAGAATGAGAAATAAGAGATTTCCAACCAGGTGAATGAAAATACTGAGTGCTGATGCTTACCTATCACATTGTTGCATTATTGATATCTCCTTAATAATCTCCTGCAAATCAGATTCAACAGGAACTTGCTTAATTGCAACAACTTGGCCGGTTTCTTTATGGATAGCTTTGAATACGCTGCCATAGGATCTATAACCAGAAACGCAAACTTGAAACTCAGAAAGGGCAATAAAAGAAGCTTGTTCATTGTGCTGTACCACTAGTTGTAGCACTACCCCGTGGCCACATTCATACCTTATTATCATCTCATTGATTGAAACACTTCATTCTAATTTTTCCCTTCAAATAAACTGATAAATTTAAAGGTTCAAATATTTTTGCTACACACAAATATGTAAGTTTGGATTATTCTCAATAAATCAAGGGATTCTTTCCTCAATAAATCAATGAAAATCAATGTTCTGACTCATTTAATTGGGTTTTTATTTAATTTTAGGGCTTATGTAGGGAACAGATCATATAATAGATCATACATGCAGAAATATTGAAAAGTGAAAAGGGTTCATCAACCTTTAAGTACCACTGTATATAAGAAACATTACTGGAATAAGCTGTTTTAATACTCCTAATGTGGAGAAAATATATTTGGAGGAAAAACATAACTTTTGTTCTCAGAAGCTGACTTTTTAGTTTTTAGAAGCTAAAAACTAGACTAGTATAAATATTCATCACTAATCAATATTTTTATTTAGTGGGAAACAAGTTATGTACCAGTGACATTACTTAATTTTAAATGTGCTAAAGATTAATCAACTTGTTTCACTACTAGAAATGAACTGTGGAGTATATTTTGCATGATTAATCTTGCTTTTGGAAAGAGTGCGATGTAAGTCACGCATGGCACTGTTGGATATAAGAGAAAAATTTCTAAATATTTACAGTGTTCTCTCATTCTTCTAACTCAGACTGAGAAAGTGAGGCTTTGCACACAGCACGACTTCCTCAATTGCTAGAAATGGACAACCTGCAGACATAGCAGCCCCCCTTCGGATCCCCTCTAACCACCGCAGTTTCCTACTGCCTTGAGGCAGGAAACTTGCAGAACCTAAAATAGGCTAAACAAACAAAACACCAGAAAATTTGAGGGGGGGGGGAGAAGCAAACAAGAAACAATAAAATTTTAAGAATTAATTTTAAATGCTACTAACAACTTGATTCATGTAAAAAGGTTTACTTTGTTTTGGAAAACAGAAACTAAAATATTTTATCTTCTGATTTATGTCTGTGCACTTTCCACCACTTTGGCAATATGGAATATTTGACATTACAGGAATACCAGTGGAATAATCTTTAGGTCACACATTGCAAAAATGAAGATAGTAACAAACACTCTGCATAGAAATGACAAAACCATTTCATAGATCTCACTAACACTACTCTTTTAGATTCCCCCCCCCCCCGGTCATGATGAAAAAATCTTAATAGTTTCCTGGCCTGTTTAGAAAAATAGTCTTTAGAATAATAGTGATGAATCTTTACAGAATTCTGCATGTATACAAGCAAGTCTTGAATTACGATGGCCACCGGTGGCAGAATTTCTGTCACTAAGCAATGCAGTTGTAAAGGATGGCATCATATGACCAGATCTCTTAGCAAAGGCAATCGCTGTAGTCCCCATTGTTATTCTTAAACAAGGATTGGGAGTAGTTAAACAAACCCCTCCTTGAAACTACCTGCTGGCTTCCGACAACAAAAGTCAGTGTGAAAGCCAGCAGGAAATTGCAAGTCCCAGGCAGATTACAAGCAGGCCAGCAGACAGCTGCTGCCAAATGGGAGGTGGAGTGAGGGGATGGCAGGTGCCTGGGAAATGTAGTACAGATAAGGCAGGGCTTGGGGTGGCTGCTACTGGATGGGGGAAGGTATGCAAGTCGTTGTACAGTGTGCACAAGAATACACGGCATGAGCACAGCAAGGCTTGGAGGGTGCGTAGATTGTCAGGGAGGTGCAGTGTGTGATGTTGAGCTGGCCATGCCTCCCAGCCACGCCCCCGAGGTCAAACACAACCCTGATGCGGCCCTCAATGAAATTGAGTTTCACACCCCTCTTTACAAGCTTAGAGGGCTAATTAAAATGATCCAGTTCAGCTTCTTTTGCAATGGTTTGGGTCCTGCCTAAAGGTGGTACTGGAGGAATTACTCTTCAATATCTGAATCACTTATCTATGGTGTTCCATAAGCTTCAGTCTTATCTCCCATGATATACAACATCTATAGGAAATTATTGGGAGAGTTTTGGGTTCTAGGGTTAGAGTGCCATGTATTTACTGATGACATTAAGTTCAATGGCTCCCTACCAATTAATTTCAAGGAAGCAATCAGTATCCTTGAACCCCTTCTAATCTTGATAGTGCACTAGATGAAAGAGAACAACCTGAAATTAAATTCAGATTAAAAGAAATGTACCATTCATAGGAAAAAGATGGACTCTAGGATTGAAAGAAACATTCCCAGAAAAATCAGCTTCAGTTTGGGGATGCTTCCTGAACCTCACCTATCACTGAGTTTTCCTGTGTAGGGAAAAATTATATATGCATAATTACAGTTCATGAAGCTATGTGATCTTTCCTCAGTGGGCAATTTAACCTCTCCTCATTATAACCTCTCTTGACTGTACATTCCACTTTAGATGGGGCTACCCCTGAAAAGTATCTAGAAACTGTAATTCAAACAAACTGTGGCATTCCCACTAGATATACGGTGTAAGATATATAGAACATTTGATGCTAAAAAAAAAACATCTTCACATTTCCTATCTCCTAGAATACAAATTACTCTATAGGCTAACTTTTTCTACTGCAGTCTATAAAACAATGTTTTGACCTGAAATAAGTAATCTGGTTTATTTACAGTCTTCAAAATTACTTGCTGTTTCAAATAGTTTTGTTTGACTGTACATACATATCAGGAAATGATATCAATCCTATATGTATTGCTATTATCTTTGGTAGCATTATAAACAGTGTGGTAAGGATATTTATGTGGTTTACTTACCCTTCTCCAAGTTTTTCCAACACATCAAACACTTCTTCAGGCTGTTTTGTCAAACTATCTTCATCTAATTTTCTTAGCTGCCTGGAATCAAATAATTAGATATGTTATCATATTTTGATGGACGCACCTTCAGTACCAACTTAATTCCAGCAGTAAATATAATTTATTAACTAATTCTTCTACTAATACCAAGTATAATACATACACAACACTGCATGTTTAAAGAACAGACAGAAGAGAGACTCTCAAAGTTCTAAGGCAGCCTGACATTTGCATGAAGTACTTCACTTAATCCTCCAGGGAACGATTGAAGGCAATTGAGGTCCAGGCAGAAGAACATCATGACTTCAAAGTCTAAGGGACCGGTTTGGACAAAACTCAGCAGCACTTTTTCGTGTAGTTGTTGATATAAATAGGATCGCCAATGTCTGATGACAGATATGGCACAACAAGAAGAAGAAGATCTCTTGTACTACAGTGTATTCCAATTCATAAAATATTTTTCACCCAAATGCACTTATTGGTAATGAAATATTTTCTACAGTTTCATGAAAACTAGGTATTCATTTTCTGAATGCAAAAATATAAAAAATATCAGCAGCATATGCAAAACAGACAATGATTTTAAAAGAGGAAATATTACTAAGATTCTATCCAGGAAATGATGAAACATGAAAACAAGTCTTAATGATAAAGCTTTAAGATTACAGAATATAATCTGGTTTAGAATAGAAAATAGCAAATATGTTATCCTTCCCATGTTATAATTTGGGTAACTGTTAGCCAACAAACTGTTCCAGCTATGCATTTTTAAACACGCCATAATTGACTATTTTCATATATCATAGTGTGAATTCAAATGTATTAACCGTGCTCATATACTATGAACAACCAGTTAATTCATTTCTAACTGTTATCATAACATATTTAGCAACTATATATATATTAGGAGTTTTTAAACTTTGTAATTTTATTTATTTGGTAAATTTATACAGGTAGTCTTTGTTTAGCACAATTGGGACCAGTGCTAAGTAGGAAATAACTGGTGCTTTCTGGATCAAAATTGACACCACTAATCACGCCTTTCAGTTTTGTTTGTTTCCTAATCGCTTCCCTACCCTTTGGAATGTATACCTAGTGCCGGGATAATTAACAAGAGAACTAATGTTTTTATTTAGACTCATTGTAGAGAAAGATTATAAGAGAGTAAGCAGGCACACAAAGGGGGAATACCCATGAAAAACAACGTACTAGCATTAGCAGCTGGGAGCACACAATGAAAATATCCCACTGTATTCTCTGTTGTGTGCCTATTTACTCCCTTGTAATCTCTTTCTCTCCAATCTTTCCACTCTGCAGGAAAAGGGGGACAAGCAGCGGTAAAATCCGGCCGAATCTATCCAGATCGCACAAACCGGTAGCACCGGAGGCGAGAGGCTCTGCCCACTCATTGGGACATCATTATGTCCCATTTTTTACCCTCTGCGCATGCGCAGAAGAGGTGCATGCACGTGTAGCGTGTGCTCCCATTCCCGAACCGGTAGCAAAGGTAAGTAGATTTCACCACTAGGGACAAGCAATTTCTCTTGAGTCTGATCCATTCCCACTCCTTATAAAGGGGAGAGATTGGAGAGTAAACAGCATATTGCTTTTGACGTGTATTTTCCACTGTGTGCCTGCTTATTCTCTTGTAATGAATGTTCCTCTTCAATCTCTCTGCTCTACAAGGGAAGGGGGAGAAACAACAGCTCAGGCACAAGAGGCCTATTAACTCTAATGGTAATCATATGACTAAAGGACAGCATGGTTGTAACTTTGAACAGACACTTCACTAGCAGTCAGTGAGGGTTACCTGTGCAGCTGCCCATTTCACAAACATGACTCTGAGCAGTCTTCATCCACAATTTTAGAACCCCTCATATACATTCTTTGAGTATTACTTCACTGAGTATTTTAACAGAAAAACATTAACCCAATTTTAAAGTTACTTGTGCCTGTAAAATCACTGAGATGGGCAGCTACAGAAATTGAATAAAGTTGCTGAAAAAAGTGATTACAAAATTTCATAACCAACAAGCATACTGTATGTAGCTAATACAATTCAATGTATACAGGTATAAACTAATTATGAGATATTTATCAAAGTAGAGAAATGCTATAAAGCAAATCATACATTAAGTAAAATCCAAAACCTAAAAGGTTTAAAAAATAATGGGCAATAAAAGGGGAAAAAAGGAAAGGAAACAAATTTGAGAATTCAAACTGTTCATATTCAAGTGAATATAAATATGGAAAGGCTGAGATGGTGAGACATGTACACAAATATCTCTGTCTCTCACCCCATCACTATTGTGGAAAAAATGTACCACAAAAGAAGGGAAACAGGTTCTTTTGCTCAGCATGCAAATACATTAATTGAAACCAGCTGCAGTCTCTGATAACAGTTTAGTTACAGAAATTCCTTCTGACCTCAATTGTCTTTAACTTGGGTTCCTACTGTAATGGGTAAAGTACAGATAGTCCTCAACTTACAACCATTTGTTTAGTTACCATTCGAAGTTAAAACAGCACTGAAAAAAATGACTTATGATTGTTCTTCACATTTACAACTATGGCAGCATCTCCATGGCCACATGACCAAAATTTCGGTGTTTCACAATTGGTTCATATTTTTAACAACTGCAGTGTCCTGGGGTCATGTGATCACCTTTTGCAACCTTCTGACAAGCAAAATCAGTGGGGAAGCCAGATTCACTTAACAACCATGTTGCTAACAACTGCAGTGATTCACTTAACTGTGGCAAGAAAAACGGAGCAAAACTCACTTAACCGGCTGGTTAAGCAACAGAAATTTTGCACTCAATTGTGGTCATAAGTTGTGGCCATAAATTGTGGCCTACCTATACTACTATATTTTTGTTCTCCATATACTGAGTTGCAACTCCAATTTATCTGTATGTCCATCCAATTTAGAGGCCACTTGATTTCACAGAACTTATATTACAAAATAGTAATAAAAATATATTGCTAAGTGCAATATTACAATTTTATAATCTTATTTCAGCTTTCCAGGCCTGCAAAGGTTGTAAATGTTAGGAATGGTTGCAAAGTTACTTTTTCAAGCCATTGTAATTGCAAACAGTCACTAAACAAGGCAGGCAGTAAATAACAGTTCTTTTTTTCCAGTATAATCTTTACTGTTTTACTTTTATAAAGATATTCATACAAGCATTCTGCCTGCTTTCAAAGGGATGTTTTATTTCATACCTAAAATATACAGCTGAAAGGCAACCATATAGGTTATGCATGACTAGCGTGAGTTAATATCAAGGAGTATGTGCAAGATGTTTTTTTTTAAAGATGGGACAAAAATCTATAATAATCAGTAAATTATATAATTTGCAATCTACATATACAGAAATTTTTAATATTTTAAATGTTTAAGGCACTGTTTAAGCAATTAAAACTGCACAAGAAAAGTATTGCCAGTATTTCAGGGTTTTGACATTCTAGAACTTCCCTTTATGCATTTTAAGACACTGGGTACTCCTATACATATTCACTTCCCCTTAGCATGTTTTTAAGCAATGAGCTTTGGTAACTAAAGATACCAACTTCCGCTGTAGACGGCGTCTAAAATGTCCAAAGTACATCAAAATGTATACATGCGAGCTCATATTATTTTGGATTTCAGTTTATGCTTTACCTCCTAGAGAAAAGTTATTTCTAAAAAAGAAAAACATATTACTTGGGAAAGCCTTGCAAATCCATAAAACAAAACTTTTACTATGCACTTCTCTATTCTTCTGTCGATGGGTTAAACCCCAAAACTTGGAAACCAACCTGAATTGTAGGAAGCCCAGGCAGGAATACTTAGGCCCTAGGCAGAGACAATTTTGGAAAACTACTAGAATAATCAATATGGGATTTCACCCTAGGCCTCCCTCGAACTTGAGATGACAAGTTCGTATCTTTTGATAGCGCGATACACGGTAAGTTTTAGCACAGTAACGGTACCGCTGCATTTCTGCTCCGATTTTTTAACAGTGGGAAAAAGAACACGACTGAGGAAAGCAGATGCTCAAGATTCACAGATTTAAGGGGGACCCAAAATGGTAGCTGGGGATTTCAGGTGGAACTTAAAATCCAGAGAAATAGTTGGGACTAACGCAGAGCCAAGAGGCAAACCAGCTGCAAAACGCAGAACCCGACTCCACCAATAGGGAAACGAGCCGGGCACCCAGTTTGAGACAAAGAATTACAGAAAGACGCCTGTCTTTCAGCACAAGGTGCAGGCGAAGCCGGACCAGCGAAAGGCAGCGGAGAAGGGTGAGAGCTTCCTCTGCAGAGAAGACCCAAGAGCCGGACTCAGAGGCGAGAAAAAGCGCAGTCTGCGCGCAGCAACCACCGCCCCCCCCCACCCCGTCGGGCTCTGTCCTCGAGGAGTCTTCCACCATCCTCATCGCGCGGTCACGCCCTTTTCTCTAGGGGGCCCCCCAATGTCCGGCTTCTCACCGGCGCGGGTGGCGCAACTGCACGGTCTCCATGGCCGCAGGAGCAGCAAAGCGGCCGGTAGACGATGCGGAGAATGAGAAAGAGAGGCGGCAAGTCACCGGCGCTCCATCCCGCCCGCTTTCTCCCAGCTCTTCTTCTTACTCGCTCCCGACTCAAGGAGCGGCCCCGCCTCCCCCAAAACAAGCGGCTTGCACTTCCGCCTCGGAGCCAGCCTATCAAGGCGATGCCCGCCGGCCTCTTTGCAAAAAGCGAAGCCAAATACAAGACCCCGCCCACCCGGCAGCTGGGACTGACGGACGACGGCGCGCGAGGGGGTGGGGGGGAGATGAAATTCACAGGCCGGCCCACGTGGTTCGCGCCAATTCTCTCCTGGCTTTGGAGGGCGTGGCTATGGGGCGGGGGGGGTGAGAATAATCGCGTCCCCCTTTTTATTCCTCATTTATTCACGAAGGAGGGCGTGGTGGGCGCATCTTACTCAAACTTACTTAAGTTTGAGTAAGATGTGGCAAACCCGTTATAACTTTGGAGGTGTTGGAGGCACACGTTGCATGAAAAGATGATTTTTTTCCCCCAATCACCTTGGCGGAATTCACACCTTTCGCTAATTTATATCCTTATTACCCGTTCGTTCGTTTTCTTGATGCCCAGGATGTATCCACAGCACCACAAAACTAAGTTAAAAAGTAAAAAGGACTGAAATATCCCGAATTCTTGTCATCTTGTAAGATTTCAGGCAGGAAGTTTTAAAAAAGGGAGTACATCAGATTTTAACAATTTTTGAAAATATATGGAAACTGAAGCATCACAATCCAGGGCAACCATTGGCTACCAGCGATCCCCTGAGCACAGGTTGACATCCATTAGGCTTGTTTGTCAGACAAAACCAAGTTTCGTGGCTTATATTCCAATGTAGTGTACAAACCCAGAAAATTATGTTAAGTCAGCACATTCACAGTAACTGGCCCAAATGATCCTTCTAAGCTACCCAGGAAAAATATTTGAGCCTACTCTTATCCAAATATATGTTAGTTTTTGTCAGTGGGAATTTAATTTACATGTGGTTGCAATAGCATTTAGACTTATATACCACTTCACAGTGCTTTCCAGCCGTCTCTAAGCGGTTTACAGAGTCAGCATATTGTCCCCAACAATCTGGATCCTCATTTTACCAACCTCGGAAGGATGGAAGGCTGAGTCAGCCTTGAGCCTGGTGAGTTTCGATCTGCCAAACTGCTGGCAGCCGGTGATCAGCAGAAGTAGCCTGCAGTACTGCACTCTAACCACCGTGGCTCAATCTTATACTTAGGGTTATTTGTGAATATTCATGATTAGAATACTGTAAGCATATGGTCCTAAGTATGCCTAGTTCAGAAGAACAGTCCTGATTATTTGGGATTGTTACTATTTGGATTCAGTTTTCAATCCATTTACTTGGAAGAAAGCTCCTTTGAATCAAGTGAATTGTGTTATAATTGTTAAAATAATACAGAGAATTAGGGATTATTTATGTATCACAGCACGCACTGGCTTAAGCAGAATGATCTTACCAGGGGCAATTCTAGCAACTCCCAAGAAAAGAATTTGACATTTTAAATTCCATCAGACAACTAAATTGTCTGTGGCATAAAGCTTATTAACAACAATCTGTTAGCCAATTATGCAAGAGTGGGGAGAGGTAATTGGTTAAGAACTGGTCCATTTTTTATTTTTTTTTTGTAGGTTTGAGGAAAAATAAGGACCAAAATGAGTATGTATTAACTGGAAAATTTCAGCTTTGCTGGAATTTTTAAAAAATAAAATAAGTATCTTAACTGCAAACGTTAAGGTGCTCATTTGCTTTTAAGAATGATATATCATGAAGAGTCCTGGTCTAAAAGACCTCCAAGGCCTCATTCAATGCTATGATTCTGATTTTTAAAAAAGATTAAAAGGGGGATTCTGAGGTTTAGAAAAGGCTATGAGAGCCACTAGGAGGCTGTATGTAGTCTGCAGACATCTTTCAGTGATGAATTTGTGTTGGGTGGCACAAACAAATGGATATTCTTCTATATAAATCTAACTGTAATTCAATGGAGCTCATATTATTTTCATGTATTTAATCATCCTCCCTTCTGTTGAATTATAAATCTCAGTAGTGTAACAATTCGTGGATCCGTTTTGTAAGGTGCAATTCGTGAATTGCATTTTACAAAAGGTGGGTTGCAATTCGTGTATCCGTTTTGTAAGGTCCCTCGTGGCTTTAAACTTCAGTGCAAAATCCACTTCCTTTCTAATAGAAAAGCATTCTGTCTTGGTCCAGAATTTGCACTGTTCTAAATTCCCATCCCATGGATACTTTATTATATGTCTGTGCTAAACCTTGCTAGGAAAAAAAAAACCCTGATAGGACTCTCCCCACTTTTAATACAATACAAATACCACTATCTGTTGGAAAGTCATTGCCACACACACACACACACACACACACACACACACACAGAGAGAGAGAGAGAGAGAGAGAGAGAGAGAGACTTAAGTTTAACATCTACCTTCTCTCTTTCTTACTGAAACTTCAGTTTCCTGTTCAATTCATTTCTATCATTAAGTGGTGTACCTTATGATATGGTGGAACAGGTAACAAATAAAATAAAATAAAATAAATAAAAAC